CTGTTGCCTTTTCCCTGTCAATCTTTTCCTCTTGAAATAATGACTGGTTAGGATCTGGAATGCACTGCCCGAGAATATAATGGAGGCAGATTCAGTCAAGGCATTCCAGAGGGAATTAGATCATTATTTGAAGAGGAAAAGATTGACAGGGAAAAGGCAACAGAGAGGGACTGGGTCAGTTGCTGTTGCAGAGAGCCCACATGAACATAGTGGGCTGAATGGCCTCCTTCAGTGCTGTAAGGGTTGAGTGATTCATCTCTTCTTTTTTTTGCCAATTAGGTTGAATCTGTGTTCCCCATTGGTCATTGACCCTTCTACCCCTGGGAACAAGATTGTCACAACATCAAACCAATCCCTAGGTTTTATTTCTACAGGGAGAGAATTGAAAAATCAGGATGTAATGTTAAACTTTAATCAGGTCTTTGTTTCGTCACACGTGGATTATTGTACACAGTTCTGATCTCCATACAACAAAAAGGAAAGAGAGGGGACAGAAAGGGAAAGTCACAAGAACATAAGAACTAGGAACAGGCAGAAGCTTTTTTTAAATTCATTCACAAGATGAGGGTGTCGCTGGCCAGGCAGCATTTATTGCCCATCCTTAATTGCCCAAAGGGCAGTTAAGAGTCAACCACATTGCTGTGGGTCTGGAGTCACATGTAGGCCAGACCAGGTAAGGCAGGCAGTTTCCTTCCCTAAAGGATATTAGTGAACCAGATGAGTTTTTCTCCCAACAATCGGCAATGGATTCATGGTCGTCTTTGGACTCTTAATTCCAGATTTTTATTGGATTCAAATTCCACCATCTGCTGTGGCAGGATCTGAACCTGGGTCTCTGGATTAACAGTCCAGTGATAATACCATTAGGTCATCAGCTCCCCTTCAGCCTGCTGCACCATTTAATACCACCATGGCTGATCTCATCTTGGCCTCAACTCCATTTTCCTGCCCACTGTCTAGATCCCTTCAACCCATTACTGGCTTCTGATTGTATCAGACCTGTAAGTAAGTAGAGATCACATATATCAGCCCTCAGATTAGGCCTGCAACAATGTGCTGTTACACAGAGCCCCTCAGTTGTAGGAACACAACTCTGAGTGCTTTCACAGAATTAAGCAACACAGAAGGAGGACATTCTGACCATACTTTCCACTGGCAGCCCTTAAAGAGATGGTCAATTGGATCCATTCCGGCTATGTCTTTTACACAGGAACATAAAAATCAGGAGCAGGGGTTGGCTATTCAGTCTGGTTTGCCATTTAATGAGATTGTGGCTGATTGGATTGTAACCTTGAATCCGCACTCCTGCCTACCCGATAACCTTTTTCACTTCCTTGCTTAACAAGAATCTTTTCATCTCTGCCTTAAAAATATTGAAGGATTCTGCTGCCACCAGAAGAGAGTCCCAAAGACTCATGACATAAGGAAGGAAAAAATTGCCTCCTAACTGTTTTAAATGGATTTTTAAACAGTGACCCCTAGTTCTAGATTCTCCCACCAGTGGAAACATCCTCCCCACCTCTATCATGTGACCCTCAGAATTTTACAAATTTCATATGTTACATAGGGAATCAATAGATCAGGAGAAAGAGTGAAAAGTGGACAGTGTTACAGTTTAGCCACAAGCACAATGCAGCAAACTTTAAGGGCCAAAGGCCTACTCTCATGTTTCATAAGAACGTAAGAATTAGGAGCAGAGGGACACCATTCAGCCCCTCCAGCCTGCTATGCTATTCAAAATGATTATGGCTGATCTCATTTTGGTCTCAACTCCACTTTCCTGCCAGTTCTCCGTAACCCTTCAACCCATTACTGATTAAAAATCTGTCTATCTCCTCCAAAAAATTACTCTATGTCCCAATATACATTACACTCTGGGGGAGTAAATGCTACAGAATTTTTTTATTCATTTGCGGGATGTGGGTGTCACTGGCTGGCCAGCATTTTATTGCCCATCCCTAGTTGCCCTTGAGAAGATGGTGGTGAGCTGCCTTCTTGAACCGCTGCAGTCCATGGGCTGTAGGGTTGACCCACAATGCCCTTAGGGAGGGAATTCCAGGATTTTGACCCAGTGACAGTGAGGGAACGGCAATATATTTCCAAGTCAGGATGGTGAGTGACTTGGAGGGGAACTTGAAGGTGGTGGTGTTTCTGTCAACACCTGCTACCCTTGTCCTTCTGGAAGAAAGTTGCTGTCTGAGGATCTTTAGTGAATTTCTGCAGTGCATCTTGTAGATATTACACACTGCTGCTACTGAGCGTCGGTGGTGGAGGGAGTGGATGTTTGTGGATGTGGTGCCAATCAAGCGGCTGCTTTGTCCTGGATGGTGTCAAGCTTCTTGAGTGTTGTTGGAGCTGCACCCATCCAGGCAAGTGGGGAGTATCCCATCACACTCCTGACTTGTGCCTTGTAGATGGTGGACAGGCTTTGGGGAGTCAGGAGGTGAGTTACTTGTCGCAGTTTTCCTAGCCTCAGACCTGTTCTTGTAGCATCTGTGTTTATGTCAACTCCCGACCCTTCGAGGGAAGTAATTCCTCCTCATCTCTGTTTTAAATCTGCTGCCCCTTATCCTAAAAATGTGACCTCTTGTTCTAGAATGTCCCACATTAGGAAACATCCTTTCTACATTTACTTTGTCAATCCTGTTTAGCATCTTATGTACCTCAATTAGATCTCCTCTCATTCTTCTAAACTCCAGAGTATTGGCCTAAACTAGTCGATCTCTCCTCATAAGCCAGAGACAGGTCGAATCAGTGGTCCAAGAACAGAGTTAACATTTCAGCCTGATCACCTTTTGTCAAATCCATCCCTAGTTGCCCTTGAGAAAATGGTAGAAACTCCACATTGACTGTTGCCCTTAGGGTGGGATCGAACCTGGGTCCCTGGTGCTGTGAGGCAACAGTGCTAACCATTGAGCCACTGTCCATCCCCCGAAGTGTGAACTCAGTTTCTCTCTCCACAGACGGTGCTGAATTTCTCCAAGACATTTCAGTTTTTTAGTGTGAATGCTGTTTGTTGTCATGCTGACTTTGTTTCACTGGGGTAAACATTGCATGTCTGATTGTGTTGGATGGCCTGCAGGATCAGGAACTTTACTTCACAGATCCCAAGCAGCTCCTGGACATCTACACCGAGCTGGAGGAACAAAACCTGTCACTAATTCTCAACTCGCAGGAAACTGAGGAGGCGGTGGAGGAGATCAAACAGGCCATGGCTACTGCCCAACTTAAGATGTAAGAGGTTCAATCATCCACTGTGAGCCATTCACTCAATCCCCCGTCTGCCTTGTTATACAGGAAGAATCAAAAAGATCTCAATGGGAATTGTCTACACACTGGTGAAATCCCCCTGTTGACCTGTACATTACATGTTGTGGTCATATTCACCAGAGCCATCTGAGCTGCCTTTGGGTGGAATGGCACATTCACCAATCCTTCTGGCTATCAGTCTCAGTTACTGATACTAAACAGGGAGAGCTGCCACACACAGTCTTTAGCAGAAAACAGGCTCAATCTTGTAAAACACTAAGCGTTTACTACGTAGTATTTAATAGCTATTGACATTACATCGGAGATACATGGTGTTCTTGTGTGAAACTATCAGGCTCAACACTGGAGAAGCCCACATTACTGTTAATAATATTGATGTTAGCACTATCACTGGTGCTACCACTGTGCGACACTGGAACACTCAAACACACAGGCTAACTCCTCCTAGCAACAGTCCTTTATATCCTGATGGTTGGAACTTATTTCATTGTTAGGTAACCCTTTCATTAACTAACTCCTTTGTACAATACAGAGCTCTCAATTTTGTTTCTTTGAGTTTAAGGCAAGCACCAAGAAATCCAACAGTGAATTCAGGAGATATGTCATCCAGGAAATGGGGAGAATGTGGAACTTGGTCCCACAGGGAGTGGTTGAAATGAATATTCCAGGGATATTTAAAGGGGAATTTGGAGGGAGAAGGAGATAGCGTTACGGTTGTGGGAGGCTCAAGCATGGACACCAGCATAGGCTGATTGCGACTTGCCTGGATGGGTGCAGCCCCAACAACACTCGAGCAGCTTGACGCCATCCAGGACAAAGCAGCCGCTTGATTGGCACTACATCCACAAACATCCCACTCCCTCCACCACCGACGCTCAGTAGCAGCAGTGTGTACTATCTACAAGATGCATTGCAGAAATTCACCAAAGATCCTCAGGCAGCACCTTCCAAACCCACAACCGCTTCCACCTAGAAGGGCAAGGACAGCAGATACATGGGAACACCATCCCCTGTAAGCTCCCCTCCAAGCCACTCACAATCCTGACTTGGAAATATATCACCGTTCCTTCACTGTCACTGGGTCAAAATGCTGGAATTCCCTCCCTAAGGGCATTGTGAGTCAACCCACAGCAGGTGGACTGCCGCGGTTCAAGAAGACAGCTCACCCCCACCTTCTCAAGGGGGCAATTAGGGACGGGCAAGAAATGCTGGACCAGCCAGTGATGCCCACATCCCACAAATGAATAGGAAAAAAAAAACTAATGGCCTGTTTCTGTCTCCTCTACCCTGTGTGATCTGATGTAATCCATGGCAGAAAATGTATAAGGAGTGAATGGCCTCTTCCTGCTCTTCAACAACACACTTTAGGAGCTGAGGGGTCTCTTACCCTGTTCCCTGTTGTCATCCAGTGAGCAATCATCTAAACCCATGCCAGGATCTTCCTGCTCCTCCAGCAAGCACAGAATTTGCCATTAGAATTTCTCAAAGGACTTTTGTTAATTGTTTTATTGGGAGGAGGGGAGTTTGGTAAGTCTTTCTGTTTTGCTTTATTGTGAAATATGACAGATAATTTTGCTGTTTGTATTTGGCAGGAACTGTGAGACAGATTTTCTGAAGCAGCAGCTGAACATGCTAAATGAGGCTGTAGCCAAGGAGGAGAGCAGGGCTGCAGAACTCGAACTCAAAGCCAAGATGTTCTCCTTCAGCCAGAGCACAATCGAAGATCAGGTATGAGCGGACACCCTGCGGACAGGCCTTCCAAGGGAAATGTTCATCGCACACAGCTCTCCCTCTTCCCCTTCCCTCTCCCCCTCCCCCTCCCCCTCCCCTAACCCTCCACATTAAACACCCACTGTCACCATAACCTTCAATGTGATGGAATATTCCCCACTCACTTCGATGAGTGCAGCTCCAACAATGCTCAAGAAACTCATGCCATCCACCTTCATCTGAGACAGTCCTTCAGGATTGAGGATGACTCTTCCATTCTGGAGTTGTGGGTCTGAGGTGCCTGAACAGGAGCTGGAATGTTCAGATTATCACATGCTCCTTCCACTGTTTACACTTGGCCTCTGTCTGGACCTATTGGAGATGCTTACACACTAGTTGGGCTAGAAATTTCCACACATCAGTGGGAATAATGCTTCCAGGACAAGGCAGTGTCTCTAAAAGGCATGCCATCCATCACCTTCAACATCCACTCTCTTCACCACCGAAGCTCAGTAACAGCATTGTGTACCGTTGACCGCAAGAACTTGCAAAGATCCTCAGACAGCACCTTCCAAACCCACGATCACTTCCATCTAGAAGGACAAGGGCAGCAGATACAATAGGAACACCACCCCCTGCAAGTTCCCCTCCAAGCCCATCACCATCCTGACTTGGAAATATATCGCCGTTCCTTCATGATTGCTGGGTCACAAATCAAGGGGTTGGCCATTTTGGACTAAGTGAGGAGAAATCTCTTAACTCAGAGGCATGTGAATCTTTGACATTTTCCTCCCTAGAGAATATCAATGCTCCAACAACGTGTATGTTCAAAACAGAGATCGCATGTTTGACACTGACAGATTCAAGGGATATGGCAACAGAAAGAGGTGGAGTTGAGGGAGAAAATGAATTATGGTGAAGTGGGTTCGAGGAGATGGATGGTCAACATCTGCTCCTGTTTGTTATGTTCTTGACCATTGCTGTTTATTTACCCCTAAACATCCTTTACCCTAGGATAAAATGCTGGATTCTCTGGATCAGAAAGTGGGAGAGGTTTACAGAGCCTGTATTGGTGAGAATGAGGCCAACATGAGCACGTTACAGATGCTAACCAGTATCGAGAACTACCTGGAAGACCTGTTTGAGAATCTGGAGAAGTTTCCTCGGGAGAAGGTGGAATTGGCACAAAGGAACAAAGAAAAGGAAAGAAGGATGAGGTAGAAAGAGGATGCAAAAACATAGTGTCTTAGTCTCTTTAACAAAGGAAGGATAGACTTGCAATTGTGAAAGTTCGCCAGGGATGCGCCGTGGGTCGGTGTGGACTTGTTGGGCCGAAGGGCCTGTTTCCACACTGTAGGGATTCTATGATCTATGATTCTTGAGGTTCAAGAGATTTTTTTCCTTGTTCATTCACAAGATGTGGGCATCACTGGCCAGACCAGCATTTATTACCCATCCCTAATTGCCCAGAGGACATTTAAGAGACAACCACGTTACTGTGGGCCTGAAGTCACACATAGGCCTGACCAGGTCAGGACGACAGTTTCCTTCCCTAAAGAATATTAGTGAACCAGATGGGTTTTTTTGTCCGAGAATCAACAATGGTTTCACAGTTATCATTAACCTCTTAATTCCAGATTATTTTTTATTGAATTCAATTTCCACCATCTGTCATTGTGGGATTTGAACTGGGGTCCCTCTATTAACAGACTAACGATAATACCACTCAGCCATCACTTCTGCTTATAAGAAGAAATTGAGTCAACAGGTCAATTTCTCTGGAGTTCAGACTCCCCAAAGCCTGTCCACCATCTACAAGGCACAAGTCAGGAGTGTGATGGAATACTCCCCACTTGCCTGGATGGGGGCAGTCCCAATGACACTCAGGAAGCTTGACACCATCCAGGACAAAGCAGCCGCTTGGTTGGCACCACATCCACAAACACCCACTTGCTTCACTACCATAGCAGTATGTACTATCTACAAGATGCACTGCAGAAATTCACCACTGAACCTTAGGCAGTACCTTCCAAACCCATGACCACTTTGATCTAGAAGGTCAAGGGCAGCAGATACATGGGAACACCACCCCCTGCAAGTTCCCCTCGAAGCCACTCACCATCCTGACTTGGAAACCGTTTCTTGAGTCAAAATCCTGGAATTTCTTCATAGTGCATTGTGGGTCTACCTATAGCACATAAAGCAGCTCACCACCATCTTCTCCAGGGGCAACTAGGAGTGGACAATAAATGCTGGCCCACATCCCATTAATGAATTAAACAATAAGTCTGCTGCCCTGGTTGTGGAATCTAGATCAAGTGGCCTGAATTATGAGCTGCATGTTTGTACTATCCCCTCCAGCAGAGGATACATGCAGCCTGCAACCTGCAACCAGGAGTCAGTAATTGCCAGAGTTGTCATCCATGGATCAGGCTCAAGGGACCAATGGCATCCTCTGCTTCTAATCTGTGTGTTGATGTTTCTGAGGAGTGTATGTGGTAAGGTAGGTCACCAAGGGGGTGTTCTCCTGTGCAATGTGAAAATCACAGTGAGCACCTCTGGTCTGTAGTCTGTTGGCTTTCAATCCTGGAACATGGATTAACATGGTCTTGTAATTCCAAAGAAAGGTCTTGAAATCCCATCTGTGCAGCTGAGGAATTAAGATTTCTGTTTCCTTTTCTAATCAACCCATTCAGAGACGTTATGACACACCTCTGGTGTTGGTGGGACTTGATACTGGGTCTCCTGGTCTCGAGGTAGGGACACTACCATTGCACCACAAGGTCTCTTGAAATCCCATTATTTATTAACCCTGGAATGAAAGGCTAGTTTCGGTATGTGTTAACTATGAAACCACTGGATTGTTGTGAAAGCCCATCTGGTTCGCTAATTCACCCTGCTTCTTTTGGCACGAAGCTCTACCTGCCTTCCCCAGTCTGTGACTCCAGTCCCACAGCAACGCAATGACCTCTTACCTGCCTGCTACAATAGCCAAGAAGTTTGCTCTCCATTACCCTCTCAAGGGTTAGTAGGGATTACTGGCCTAGCCAGTGACACCCACATCTGGAGTTTAGGAAAGCCTACTGCAGTCCTCTCCACCCAGGCCATTCTGCTTTCAGAACCCTGGGATTGTTCTCACCTGCAGAGTGAGGGCACAGCCTCAGGCTCAGCACCAGCTTGCTGTGTCTGAATCACACATCGACCTCTCTCAATGATGCTGTTTCTCTCACAGGGTACGGGAGGAGAGACTGATGGAAGAGAAGCTTCACCAGGAAGAGCGAATCCACCGAGCAATCGTCAGATCTCAGGCTGAGCACCAGAAAAAGGTCAGTTTTATGTCAGAGAACTCCTCTTGCCTCAATCACCCCATGCTCACTATACTGAGCTGATTGGAGCTCTGTTCCCTGTTATACACCCACCTCAGGAGTATTAGAGGTCTGCAGCACAGTAAATGACCCTTCTGCACATTGTGTCAACACCAGTCAAAAACAGCCACCCACCAATTCTAATCCCATTTTCCAGCACTTGGCCCATAGCCTTGCATATCTTGGCATTGCAAATGCACATTTAAATACTTCCTCAATGTATTGAGAGTTTCTCCCTCCACCAGCCTTACAGGCAGTGAGTTCCCGATTCCCACAAACCTCTGGGTGAAAATATTTTCCTCACATTTCCTCTAAACCTCCTGCCCCTTACCTTAAATCCATGACCCTGGCCACTGATCCCTGCTGACGTGGTCCTCTGACACTGCTGGCACTGCAAGTGGCAGCAGGGATATATTCTGCTCAAATTCCTGGCATGTGTCACGAAACCATAACTCTTAGAGCTGCCGATATCTCCACTGACCACAGGCACTGCCAGGTGGCTGAACTATTTTGGAGAATTCTGACACTAATTTCTGCTCATCTTCACAGACTGGGAGGAAGCTCGTGTATCGATCAAACCCACCTTTAATGAAGGAGCTGGAGAAAGAGAACCAGATTACCACTGACAAGGAGAAGGAGGAAAATGAGTATTACTTTAGCATGTAAATCTGTGGTTTAGGAAGTTCTACATCACATTGGCATCACTGCATTGTAATGTTTCCCCAAGGCTCATGGCTTGCAATGAAGTTTTACTTCAAGCAGTTTCCATTGATTTTTCTCTTTTCGAATCACAGCAACCCCACAGGCACAAACTGCAGCTGCAAGCACCTAAAACATTTTATAACGTCTCAGAAGTTTTAGTTTTCTTGTTTATGGGGCACTGTAAGTTTGTAGTGTGTATTCACAGAGATAGTATAAATGATTGAAATAAATGTCACTATTTTCTTGCCTCTTTCAATGCGAGGAGTCAGAGAAGATTAATTTCAAACCAGCTTTAAACACTGCAACACAAGCAGAATTCTGCATTACAATAACCCAGAGCATAGGTTAGGAAACAGCAACTCCTGATTCTTCTGCAGTTGGCAACATTTGGATTGTCAAATATATTGTAACACATATTTTTTAAAAAAAAACAATTTTCAGCAATAAGTCATCCCAATCTCAATCAGATTTTGTGTGCTACCTCCTTAAGATAAATGGAGGTTTTGTGCAGGGGACTTTTAAAATCTCACCCTCCCCCCACTCCAGTAGCTTAGTTGGTGGATAATGGGTCTCAATTCCATGGTCAACATTGAGTCCCACTCTAGGCTATCATTCTTTCTTAAATACTCAAGTCAAAATACTTTTCATTGACCTTATGAACCAAATGATTAATGGCTGGACCCTGGAAAGTACTGAAAGATCTGAAGGGCCTTGTTGTGCATATGCACAGGTCCCTGAAGTAGCAGCAGAGGTAGATAAGACAGGTAAGTATCCCATGTGCCTTCTTACCTTTATTAGACAGGGCAGAGAATACAACAGCAGGGAGGTTATGTTGAAACTGTATTCAATATTTCCACAAACACCCTCCACCACCGACACTCAGTAGTAGCAGTGTGTCCTATCTACAAGATGCACTGCAGATATTTACCATAGATCTTTAGACAGAACCTCCCAAACCCACAACCACTTCCATCTAGAAGGATAAGGGCAGCAGATACATGAGGACTCCATCCCCTGCAAACTTCCCTCCAAGCCACTCAACATCCTGACTTGTAAATATATCGGCGTTCCTTCAGTGTTGCTGGGTCAAAATGCTGGAATTTGCTCCCTAAGGGCGTTGTGGGTCAACCCACAGCAGGTGGACTGCAGCAGCTCTCCACCACCTTCTCAAAGACAATGAGAGACAAGCAATAAATGCTGGCCCAGCCAATGACACCCACATCCCACAAATGAATTAAAAAATCTTCATTTACTCAATTATCAGACGCAGGTTTTACAGAGGCAATAGTTGTTAAATGATAGATGGACCCAATGAAAATTTTCAATTGGTTAAGGGCTATATACACCAGCATTGGGTAACTTGAACTTCATTGTTAGTCTGGAAATAAGCCAATTTATTTGTATTAATTCCCACACATTCTTCCCAGCTATCATGGACAGTGGTTAGTTCATGTACCTGGGGGTAAAAACAAAGGTTGAACATCTAGAACGGCATGCATTAACAAGGATAAGTAGCACCATAATGGTAAGTTCTTTCCCTTCAAAAAGACCCTGACCTCATACAAAAAGGAATTCTCAAATCTGTCATGTAACAGTACTGCTGTAACCCAGGCATTGGTGTTTGTTCAAATAAAAACTGGTAGAGATTTATTATTGTTCTTTAAGGGTATTTTCCAACCTATGAACCAGCAATTACTTAGTTAAAACCAGCCCATTTAAAAAAAAAATCATTCCAGGATGAGTGTGTCACTGGCTAGGCAGCATTTATTGCCAATCCCTAATTGCCCAGAGGGCAGTTAAGAGTCAACCAAATTGCTGTGGGTCTGGAGTCACATGTAGGCCAGACCAGGTAAGGATGGCAGTTTCCTTCCCTAAAGGACATTGGTGAACTAAATGGGCTTTTCCCAATGGATTCACAGAAATCATTAGACTCTTAATTCCAGACTTTTTTTAATTGAATTCAAATTCCATCATCTGCTATGGTAGGATTTGAACCCAAATCCCCAGAACATTATGTGGGTCTCTGGATTAATAGTATTATCCAGGATTAATACCGTTAGGCCATTGCCTCCCCAGTAACATCAACAACCTGTCCTTTGCTGTTTCAAAACCAGATGCTTTCCTGCTTTCTTTGGATGTAGTTCCAACTCTTTGCTGCTTTGGCTGATATAGAATGATGAAACCAGCCTGTATTTACCAGCAGAAAATCTTCTGGAAGGCGTGTACTTCCTGCATCATCACTATTATTATGAGTGGCTACAGCTCTAACCACTTGATTGCTGTTTTATGTACTGGAACAATTTAAGCTTGTTGCATCCAATAATGGGATCATTAACTGGCTCAATCCATAGATTAAATTTTCAATTTCTTCCAAGTGTGGATCTCTCCTAGTCACAAAGATTAACCTGAGAGTACAACTCCAAACTCCAAACATCAACACAGTGTGGAGCTGGAGGAACATAGCAGGTCAGGCAGCAGAGTAGAAGAAAAGTCAACGTTTTTGGTCAGCACCCTTCTTAAGAACCCAGCATCTGCAGTTCTTGGCATCTTCAATCTTTAATGTCAGCACTTATTTTATTCTCAGACTGCTAAACTGTGGATTCATTAAGACTGTATTCCAGGGGCAATATGGGAATGCTAGCACTATTTTTCAGTTTTATTAATCATTTATTTTAAAAGCAAATATCACCACTTTTAAAGTAGTTTACTGCTTGATCCAATTTAATAATGTTTAAATAATATGGCTTACTGATCTGATATGAATGATGCTAATAATGTAGTGGATCATCTTGAGCTGGTCATATTGGTTGTAGTACCAATGCAGTTACAGGGTTTCGGTTAACTCAGTTGGCTAGATGGCTGTCTTTTAAACGCTTTCTTTGTCCTCGTCTTGTTCGAGTGCCTTCCTTGAGCTGGGCAAAGATCTGCTTTTGGCAGTCGGAACTCAGACTTACTAAGCACATGGCCAGCCCAATGGAGTTAGTCTTGGATGATCGTAGCCTCCATTACTAAAATACAGTGACAACCAAGGCTGTGGTACATACAGCATAGACATCATTTGTAACTTCTTCCCAATTCAAGTAGTTGCCTGTTGTGCTTACTGTCTTCTTCTGCCGCTAATCAATCATCTAACCTGATCAATTAATCACCTTCAATTCCCTGTGTTTTAATTTTTAGCCAACAGCTGATTATTCAGGAGACATCTGAAAACACATTTGACCTACATCCACAGACACTCCTCTGTCTACCACCTGTAGTGTTATCCTCAGAAAAGTCAATTAGATTTGTTAGGCATGACCTACCCTTTACAAAGCCCTATTGGCTCTCTCAAATCAGTTCCAATTTGTGCAAGTGCGCAGTCAGTCTCCCCTGAATTTTAGATTCCAATAACTATACTACGAGACATTAAATGTGATGGTCTGTAATTTCCTCATTTCTCTCCCACTTTTAAGCAGTGGAATTATATTTGCAATGTTCCAAACTAAGGGGACAATTCCTGAATCTGGTCTACCTCAGAAGACCATAGCTTCAGCATTTTCAATTTCCTCACTCACTTCCTTTAAAACTCTGGGCTGGAAACCATCAGGTCTTGGATTTGTCCATCTTTGGTACCATTATGTTTTCCTAATATGGCTTTCTTGCTTGTGTTTACTGAATCAATCCCAGTGGTTATGTTATGTTAATAGTTTCCCAGGATTGCCTGGCGTATGAACCTCCTCAACTGTGAAAAATGACTGAAGTTATTCGACAGGCCTGCCATTCCTTATTTCCATTTGTTACATTATCTACAGCTGTTTTTAAAGGGCCCAAATTATCCTCTTCTTTGAGAAAAAAAACTTTGTTGTTGTGTTAATCATGATAACTCATGCAAGTTTTAGATTATTTTAACAACCTTCCTATGCTGTAGATTGGTTCTCCTCCAGACCACAGAATCCACACCATTCTTTGCAGTTCAGTATAAACTTTCCTCAACTGTTCATCTTTAGTTTCCCTCAATCACACTTTTAACCAATTTAATTTGTGTGCCACCATTTAGTTAAAGTTAGCACCACCAAACTCTAGGACCTTAGTAACTGTAACAAAATTTTTCTTTGCCAAATTTGATCACATTCTGATCAATGTTAGATAAACTTTCCTCTTAGTAGTTGGATTTGCAACAATGAGCTTATTTCCGGATGTTAATTAAAAACTGAAATATAATTCTTAAATTGCATTACTTTAGACCAGCTCAAATATACTGAATGGAACACTGCACCTAATCAATGGATCGATAAGTGGATAACTACCTGAGAGAAAAAGCAGGGAATAATTCAAATACGGCATTGAAACTTTAAAAATCAGTATCTTATTTTGCAATAAATGTTTCACTGTAAAAAAGGCTAAACTGCCAATGAAGGGCCAATAACTGGAGCCAAGTGTCAAAATTCCATTTATTTTTAATATAAATCTGCTGCCTTGCATGTGATGGGGCCACACTGCTTCAATCTTTAATGCAGACAAACAAATTGTAGGAAGTTCTGTTAATTTTCAAAATCTTAAGCATTAACCAGACCATTAGGGTTAAGGAGTTTTAACAATTGCAGTTGTACACAGAACATACACTGTCTGTACAAGAATTGCACAAGTAGGCACCTGGATCATTGAAGTAAGAAGCGGGGAGGTATTTTCCACTCCCTATCCCAACAGTTTAATTGTAAAATTAGAAGTCGTCTGAATCCATTTCTATCTTCACTGAGATTTAACACTCAGTAAATGCACAAACCATTAAAAACTAATCTCCCCCCCCAATTTCACTGCCCCAACACAGTGTGTAATTTACGAAAAGGCAGTAGAAATGAGTGCAAATTCAACCATTTCTGCTCTCTCAAAATCTCCTCTCAACAAATATTCTTTAGAAATGTACAAAAGAATAAATAAATATACATACTGTACAATATAAAAACATTTAAAATATACATATTTAAACTTCAGTTAAGGAGACGAGGTTTGTGGGGACTGAGCTGCCACAGCAAAATCTTTGCTTTCCCTGACAAACTGTCCAAAGAACAAAGTATGAGGAGACAGATTTTAGATACATTTCTTAGACTCACTCACCCATCCAGGACACGGACTTTAGTCACACTCCCTAGACTCACTCACCCAGGAGACAGACTTTAGACACATTCACTAGTCACCCATCCAAGACACGGACTTTAGACACACTCCCTACTCTCATGCATCCAGGAGACGAACATTAGACACACTTCCTAGACTCTC